CGTCGCGACGCACACCACCTCCCCCACCTCTTCCGCCGCGTCCCCAACGCCCTAATGGGGGCTCCGCCCCGTGCCCCCCCCCGCCGCGACAATTTTATTCCGCGTCGCGACGCACGCCACCTCCCCCCTCCCCCCCCGTCCGCAACGCCCCTGTTGGACCCCCGCCCTGTGGCCCTCTGCCCAAAGCCCCGCCCAATGCCCCCTCCGCCCCGACCATTTTATTCCGCGTCGCGACTCACACGACCTCCCCCCTCTTCTCCGCGCCCCCAGCGCCTTAGTGGGACCTCCGCCCCGTGCCCCCTCCGCTCCGAACACTTTATTCCGCGTCGCGACGCACGCCGCCTCCCCACCCCCTCCCCGCCTGGGATTTGGGCTCCGTTGTTGGGGCCCGAGGGGCGATGTCTTGCCCCATCTTCCCCCTCCTCCTCCACCTCCTCCTCCTCCCCCTTCCTTTTTGTGCAAGAGCCATAGCGCACGTGCCACTTGTCGTTGTCGTTGTCGTTGTCGTTGTTGTTGTTGTTGTTGTTGTTGTTGTTGCTGTTGTTGTTGTTGTTGTGTTTGTTTGTTTGTTTGTTTGTTTGTTTGTTTGTTTGTTCATTTGTTTGTATGTTGGGGGGAATCCCCAAAAACCCTCAGGGACCTCCATGCATCTTCAGGAAAGTCTGAGGGTCAGAGCTTGTGGCGGCACTAAAACTTGCCACCTCCTCTTCCTCCTCCTCCTCCTCCTCCTCCTCCTCCTCCCCCCCCCCTTGCATCGCGCGGCTGTATCCGCCTCGGCGCCCTGATCAGGAAGCGCCAAGGGACAGGCTGGGGGAGGGGGGGGAGATGAGGAAAGAGGGGGGGGGGGGGGACGAGGGGAATGAAAGAGGAAACCTTCTCTGGTTATCGGAAGTTTTCGGAAGGGGAGGAGGAGGAGAAGGAGGAGGATGGGGAGGAGGATGAGGGGGAGGAGGAGGAGGAGGAGGAGGAGGAGGAGGAGGAGGAGGAGGAGGAGGAGGAGGAGGAGGACGAGGAGGAGGAGGAGGAGGATGAGGAGGAGGAGGGGGGGAGGATGCCGCTTGCCGCCGTCGCCGAGGCCAGCGGGCGCTCTTTTTCGGGCCGCAGCTGCGACCGAACAAGCTTCACTGAAAGCAGCACCGGCGGAGACGATTGGACGGCGGGCAGGCCCACTCGAGGCTGTCAGCTGTCTGATCTCTCCGACAGGGGCTCAAGCGACGCGCGAGGGAGGGGGGGCAGGGAGCGCGACGAGGAGACCTGAAAACGGCAGCGGATCAGGACTCCCCTGGAAACGCGGCCTCGCGTGCTGTGGCATCTGGCAATCATCGACAAAGTAGAGCGCGTGCCGCCTGCCGCCGCCGCAGAGGCCAAAGGGTGCTCTTTTTCGGGCCGCAGCTGCGACCGAACAAGCTTCGCTGAAAGCAGCGCCGGCGGAGACGATTGGACGGCGGGCAGGCGCGCTCGAGGCTGTCAGCCGTCTCATCTCTCCGACAGGGGTTCAAACAACGCAAACTTGCCAAATAATCCTTTGGTCATCTCTAATCAAGCCGAACACTTCACCGTTAACCGAATACTAAAGCACGCGCGCACATATACTGCGAAAGGAACACTTTGGAGAGGAGAATGGTCAGAGCCGCACCGTGCGCCTGACTGAAACACTCCGCGAGTGCAGCGCGCGATGACGGCGGGTATTCCTGGGCAGCTTTCGTCTTGAAATCACCGCCCCGTGCTAAACCATGGATGGATGCATGCTTCTTTCTGTTCTACTGCACGCAGAGCCGCTACCATGGCACGCGCGAGCGATGGGATCGAACGAAACGTGATCACCGAGGAAAAGAATGGGCTTCTTCCACTGCGTGCCCCACTGGCACATGTCCGCGACTACTGAGGCACTGGGGCCCCGCCTCGAAGCCTTCTGTAAACGCGGGGGAAGCCGCAAACGGGGGCGGGCGGGGTTCTCCAGGGCCGCTGGGCGGCCCAAAAGATGCATCTACTCGAGAGTGCTGCAACGTAATCCGGCGAGAATATTGCCAATTCGAATGGCCTCCCGATCACGCGGGTAAGTCGCTTCATGAAGCCCCATCGGATGTCGATCTGATCTCAGCCTCGAAGGCAGCGCCGGCCCGGCCTGCCCCTGCACGCGCAGCGGCCCCGTGTCCCGGGCGCGCGTCCAGGTCTTGCGCGGCGTCCCGAGGAAGGGCCCCCACACTTGGCCTGCAATGATCCAGCCGCGGACGAGCTTGCGGGCAGCTGGCGCGGAGAGATCCCACGCTGCGCCTCGCTGGGTGTCCCGCTCCAGCACCGGAAAGCCTTTCGCCCGCAAAGCCCGTGAAAGCCCGCCACTGCCGCTGAACAGCTCTAGAAAGACCCGCGGCTGGACGAGGCGGGCACCCCTGCTGGCCAGGGTGCGAGCGAAGGCCTCGCGAGGCAGTAGGGCAGCCGCGAGGCCGCCTCGATCGCGCGCCTCGGCGCCTCGGGCGTCAGCCGCTGCAGCTGCTTCCCGACGCGCCCCTCCTTCTGGTGGCGCCTGGCGCTCGAGTCGTAGTGCCGGCGCCCTCGCAGCTTGATCTCCTGCGGCGTCCTTAGCTGCCGAGCTCGGTCGTGGCTTGGCCCGCTGTGACGCAGCATGTGCAGCTCGGGCCCCGGCGTCTGCGGGCCCGCCCGATGGGCGGCCTCGCAGAACTGCACCGCCAGCTCGGCGTGACTGATCCCGAACAGCTGCTCCTGCGGCGGGGTCTCGCGCTTGAGGAAAGCGAGCGCGGGCGCCGCGAAGTGGAAGAGCGGCAGGTCGAACGCGACGGTCTCGTCGAACTCCCTCGTCTTGCTGCTGACCGCTGCCCCGCTGGGGTGCACGACGCTCGCCCAATGCAGCGCGTGCGTTTCAGGCGCCGGCGGCGCCGGCATCTCGCCGCGCGCCCGGCGCAGCTCGCTCGGGCGAACGTAGCAATGAAAACTACTCACCGCCCAGACCGCCATCGCCCAGTTGCCCGTCAGCAGCCGCTCCAGCGCGATCAGCGCAACCGCCTCCCAGGGCAGAGGCAGCCGAGCCCGCCCCGGGGCCGGCCGCTTCCACCCCTTTAGCGCTTGTGCCGACTGCGGCAGAAACCTGCCGCCCGTCCTGGCGAACTGCGGCCTGAAGTACTTCGCGGCAGCCAGTCCCTTGGTCCCGCGCTGCGCCAACTCCCCGAACGAATGCTCCTGATCCATCCACCTCGACAGCACGAGGTCGAGCTCGTCGTCGCTCGGCTCGGGCTGGATCAATCCGGGCGGGCGCAGCTGCTACCGCAAACGCAGAGTGTCCTGCCCGAGGCTGTCGTACTGCGCCACCGTCTTCGGCGTCACCGAGGAGCGCTGCAAGAGAGACGCCGCCCCGCGTGGAGCCGTCCAGCACCGGGGCCCGGCTGACGGCGCTCCTGGCCCGCCGAGCCACCCGCGCGCCGGCTTGCGGCTCCTGGCCCCTGGAGTCGGCTGCCCCGCCAGCTCTGCCCTCGCCTGCGCCGCCTCCGCGCTCAGGTGCCGCCCTCGGCCCTCGGCGCCGCGGCGGAAGCAGCGGGCTGCTCGGGGCCGCGATGCTCACCGCGGCGGGCGCCGCGGAGCCTGGCGACTGATGGCTCGCGCACGGCCAGCTCGGCGAGCTCGCGGCCTGCGCCCGGGCCGTCGGCCAGCCAGCTGACGTATCCGGCGTCCCCGCGGCGCCAGCACTCCAGCCCCGCTGCGGCGTCCGCCTCGGAGGAGTTGATCCTGGCGCCGATGGGGATGTGGCGGCGCGACGGCGCATCGGCGATGTTCCGCTCAGACGGGATCCATCGCACTGGCGCCTGCACCGCTCCGGCCAGGCACCAGGCCGCTCATTGGCGAGCGACTCGCAGGGCCCCCCCCGCCGAGGAGCGGCCCTTCTCAATCGCGCGCACGAGCCCCATGTTATCGCAGGAAAAGGATGCGCTCGCCGAGCGACTTCGAGGTCGCGAGGAGCGTGTTTAAGAGAGTGGATGAGAGCACGACCCTCGAGGACGATGATCTTCTCTGTCCTCGCCCACCCCCCACTCGACACCACCTGCCGCTCTCCTCCGTGCAGCTCCTCCCCCACGTCCGTTACCTTCCACAGGTTGTCCTCAGGGTCCTCCTCCGCCGCCTCCAGCGACGCGACGGACTTCTCGTTCGGCGGCGCGACGGGCTCGACGATCGGGTCGAAACTCGCATCCGCGACGTTCTGAACGTGGCTCTGCTCGAAAAGGCAGTCCCAGGGTCGCGCTCCGCCTTCGCGTTGATATCGCCACCTCTCTCCGCGCCTGCCCGCTGCCCGTATGTCCCCCCCCCCCTGGCCTCCTCCTTGCAGACGCCCCTCCCCTCCTCGCTCGCGTCGCCCTAGTCAACCAAGAAGCCCTCAGATCAGCCCGAGCAAGAGGAACAAGACAGGCGGCCCAGTGGAGTTCCCGGCGGGCGGAGGGGGGCAGCTTGACAACCTGGTCGAAGTATTTCCGGGAGATAGCGCACGCCGAACTGAATGCCGCAAGCAGAGGGCGTCTAGGCATAGCAATGAAAGCGAAATGACGAGCGATTTTACCCACTTGACGCCCAGAAACCCACCCTCGAGACAGAGCCCCCTGATTCCAAAGGCGCAGCCTCCAGGCACGGCGGCACTTTGGTCTTGCCACCCCGCGTTCACCGTCAAAGACCCGTCAAAGTTGTTCTGAAACTGAAGTCGGGGCATCGGGTTCATGCAGGGGAAGACGAGCATCGCTTGAAGCTGTCTGGGGGCACCAGGCTTGTCAGCATCCGCTCCGAACGAAATCAAATGGTCAACGTGCGCAGGGAAAGCGCCCTCGCGTACCGAAGGGGCAGGGTTGCTATCCACAATCTCGGGGGCATCACTGAAACCCTCTCGCTCGATCAAAATGTTTCTGTGCGCTCCATGACAGAAATCCAGAGCATGCGTCCAGCCCATGGGCAGCAGGCGGTCAAGCGCGGGCGCAGCCGGGCCCGACCCGCCTGCGCGCGCCCTCCCGGCTCCTTCACGCCCAGCTGGGGCGCCGGGGGCCTCGGCAGAGCGAACGGGTGCCTGCGCTCTGACGGCGGGCCCATGTTGTAGAAGGCGTCCGCGATGTCCACGCCTGCCGTCCAGAGCACCTCTCCTGGCGCCAGCTCGATGGAACTGAAACTGCCGCCAGGCGCCAGACAGGTCTTCTCGGGCTCGTCGAACCTGAAGTTACTGCCTCTGCAGTCGTTGACCAAGCGCTGGCGTCCATCTTTCTTCCAGACGGTAAAGAGACCGACCTCCTCAAAATCGCCCTCGCCCACCCTGAACTCCAGCGCGCCCCCGTCCCTCATCCTCTCCACGAATGCCAAGTGCGCCGCGGGCTGCCGCGGCGCAGGATCCAGGTAGGACCTCGCGAAGCCGGCTTCCCTCTTCAATATCTCGGCGGTCTGAATTGGCAGAACTTTCGAAGTAGTAAACCTCCGCGCGATATCAGGGCCGTCGCGACCCAGCGGCTGACTCAGGGGCACTGGCGCACCGCCCACCGCCGGCAAGGGCGCGAGATCGCGCGCGAAGGGGGCCGCCGTGACGGGCTCGCCGTCAGAGTGGCCCGCGCCGACCTGGAGCTCCCGAAGGGCCACCTCGATCGACGGGTCTGGAGGAGGGGGGCCCATCGCCGCGCAGCTCTCGGCGAGGAGCTCCAAACGCAGCTGCTGCCTCAGGTTGGGCTCCGCTCCCGCGCAGCGCGGCGGAGCGTCGCAGCCCGCGTCCAGCTGGTTGAGCGCCGTCGCGAGCTCGGAGACGAGCTCGCCGTGCGGCGCCCTGTTGGCGCGACGGCGCCGCGCCGTGCGGCCGCCGCCGCCCTCGCCAGCTGCAGCCGCGTAGTGCCAGTCGGGGACTGGCAGGGGCAGGAGCACGCGCTGCAGGTGATCGTCGCCCCCGCCCTCGGCCTCTGCTGCTTCGCCCCCGGGCCGAGGCAATCCTGGGGGCGGACCCGTCGTCGTGACTTCCCGGGGGGAGCTGAACTGCCCGTGGCCGCTTTCTGCTCCTCCCGAAGCTTCCTCGCATTCGTCTGGATGCCGTGGCCCCCCCCCGATTCTTTCGACGCCGTTTCCAGCAGCTCTGGGCGCGCCATCGAAGGAGAGCGTGGCCCTCCCATGAACGCGAAGGCCTCCTACAAGGGCATCCGCATGTTGCGCTGCTGCTGCTCCCTGCTCCTGTCGTCGCAGTAGTGCTTGATCAACTGGAGCTTCCTGTAGCCGATCTCCGCGCTCGAGCGGTTGAAGATGTCCAGGTGGTCGCTGGAGCCGAACAAGTCGAGCATCTTCGAGATGGTCTCGTGGATGTCGACTCCACAGTCGGACGAGTTCAGCTTGCGCTTCGACATCCACATCTCATGATGGAGGATCGGGATGCCTTCTCTAGCCTGGTGCCTCGCGCACCACTGCGCCGTCCTGGGCGGTGCGACCCCGAAGCCAGGGGCGGCCTCCTCGCGGCAGAGCCCCACCACCTCACGCCACTCTCGGCCGTTCCCGCCCGGCTGACCAGCCCCGGGCGGGATCTCCAGCGTGCGGGCGTCACCGCCGCGGTGCTCCTGCGTGAACCAGGGCAGCTCGGCATCCTGCAGCAGCACCGCGCTGGCTCCCAAGCCGCCCGCCAGCGACCGCGCGACCAACCAGAGTCGCGCCTCCTGGGGCCCCGACCGCCACCTTCGCGCCGAACATGATCGCCCCGTCGACACCCTCTGCAGCGATCCAGTGCCATCCCGCCGCCGGCTCGCCATTCGGCAAAGGCGCGAGAGGCGGCGAGTCGGGCACTGCGGGGGCCCTCATAGGCGCGGCAGGCGGCGCGGGCAGCGGCGGCGCCGCGGCCACCGGCACCAGGGCGGCGCCAGGGGTTCCGGCGGCAGCCGCAGCGCCAGGCGTGGCCGCCAGCGCCAAGGGCCCTGCGGCCGCGGCAGGCGGCGCGGCGGGCCCGGCGGCCGGCAGCGGGGGCACCCCCAGAGCAGGATCCGCCAGCGGCACCGTCCCAGCAGGCAGCCCCGCGCAGTTGACTGACCGCCGACACCGTCAGCAGTAAAGGCGAGGCCTGCAGAGCTCCGTAGCCCTGGACCGCCCCTTGGCGCAACACCTGTAGACCCGATTGGCGGCTACTCCTCCCGCGCGGCCGCCCTGGCCGTGCACGAAATGGACCTCCTGCATGTCCGCGTCGGCCTCCATCGATTCGCCGTAGTCGTCAAAGTCGGGCGTCATCACATACCCCGAGGGGAAGAGATCCAGCCGCTCATGGTACAGCACAGGCCCTCCGACTCGACAGCGAGTGAGATGAAAGTCTCTTGGCGTCACCATCGGGATGGCCTTCAACGGCAGCTAACCGAGGGCCGTCGGCGGAATGCCTGGACCTGCTCCAACGCCAGCGTCGAGAGGTCGCACTCCTCCGGGGCCCCCGACGCGTCCATCTGCGGCCGAGCAGCCGCCGCCACGGGCCCGCGGGCGCGCGTCGCCCAGGCGAGCCCCAAGGCCCCCAGCCCGCAGCCCGCGAGCAAAGACAGCGCCGCCACCCCGGCCAGCTGCGAGCTCGGGCAGCCCGGGCTCGAGGCGGCCGCCACCGTGCCCTCGCCGCAGGGGCACGCGCACTGCAAGGCGGGGCAGTGCAGGGAAGGACTGCACCAGCAGTCCGGGCAGTCGGGCACCGCCGCGCGCACCATGACGGCGGTGGTCAGCGCCTGCCCCGCGTCGTGCAGCAAGCGGAGCAGCCCGGCCTCCATCCCCCGCAAGGCCTCAGCGCGACGAGGAGACCTGAAAACGGCAGCGGATCAGGACTCCTCTGAAAACGCGGCCTCTCGTGCTGTGGCATCTGGCAATCAACAACAAAATAAAGCGCAGGAGCACCACTGAGGAAGGAGGAGGAGGAGGAGGAGGAGGAGGAGGAGGAGGAGCAGGAGGAGGAGGAGGAGGAGGAGGAGGAGCAGGAGCAAAAGCAAGGAGCAGGAGCAGGGACAGGAGGAGAAGGAGGAGGATGAGGAGAAGGAGCAGGACAGAGCAGGAGGAGAAGGAGGAGGAGGAGGAGGAGAAGGAGGAGTCTAAAGGAGAGGGAGGGAGAAGGATGAGGAGGGCCAGATGGTCGGACATTCGAGATGCCCTCCTCCCTCTCGAAGGGAAGGTGAACACCACTTCCAATCATAACCACCCTGTCACTAGCATGAGGGCCCTCCGCAATTTTGGAAAGCCCCTTGCGCCCCCTCCCAGGCGTTGGCGGAGAAAGCGTCCGCGGCCGTCTGAAGTTTGTGCCCATGCTTACTATGTGGCTCGTTCTGGAACTCTGGATCCAAAGATGTTCGCATTTTTGGGTGACAACCAGTTTTTGCTTTTGCCAACTTTCGCCGCCCTTCCGCTGGCTTCCGCTGGCGGGGCCGCTCCCATTTTCGTCGTCCTCCCCCGGCATCCGCCACCACTCTCCGAGGAAGAGCTGCCAGCTCCTCGACCCCTCGACGACGAGGCCCCATCTGGTCTTCGAACGAGGAATCGGCAATCAGGGGCCGATGCCCCCCACGCCCTGGCCCAGACATCTGACGTCGCTCGGGCGTCCATTCCCCGTTCATGTTTCGGTGTCGTACGTGTATTCTTTCGCGAGACGAGCCAAAAGGCTCCTCGATGGCCCTCGCCGAGAAAAAAAACACAAGTCCGAGCGATGCCAAGAGACGGGGCCCCTGGCAGTCTGGACCCTTCCGCAGGGGCTGGCCTTCTATCCCGAGCCGCTCTCTGACGGTCCTGGCACCAGGCGAGGCCCCCCAGAGGCCGAAAAAACGACGGCGAGGGCATTGGAGAAAGGAAACCTTGGATGAGGAACCCAGGGTCTGGAAGCCAGTGGAACTCCAACTGAGAGGCTTGGTCAGGGAGATCGCCGCCGCCCTCATCAGGCAGGGAAGCTTTTTCCAGGGTCTCAGGCCTCCTGGGCACCGTCGTGAACGAACGCCCCTACCGTATGAAAAACCGCCGTTCTGGGCCGCCAAGGAGTGACGACGTCCCTCTTTCCCCGGGCCGCCTTTTCTTGCGGCCCCGAGGCCCCGCGGCGGCCCCGAGCGGCCGCAAGGGGGGAACGGCAGCGAGGGGCCTCCAGAACGCGACGCCGTGTCCGTGACGAGCGGGGCTCTGGAGGCCTCCAGGGAGCCTCCAGGAGGAGGCCCCCAGGCCCAGACTTCCGCGCGCCTCGACAAAATCGTGACGGAGGTTCTTCCTCGTGCTCGGCCCCCCCCCAGGGGCTCTTACCGGGCCTCGGGTTGGAAGACAGGGGGGCCTCAGAACGCCTGGCGTCATGGAGAGATCACGACGGGAGGTGTTTCTAAGTGTTTCTCTGTTTTCGGCCTCTTGGGGTCTCGGGACCGTTCAAACGCGACTCGGCATGAAAACCTGGCCCCGGGGAAGTGGTCAGGAGGTTGGGGGCCCGCGTCTCGAAACAAATCGACACGCTGGGTGTCTGGGATGGAAGCCCCGGGAAGTCCCTGGGAGGCAGCATCTGTCAGCATCGAATCAGGAACTCGGATCGAATCAGGCTGTGTATCGGATCGGGCTGCATCGGCACGGAGTCGGAGTCGAATCGAGTCGGCTGCGGCAAGATACACAACAACGCCATGCAAGCATCGGGCCGCATCGGATCTTCGGAATATCGGGATTGTATCGATTCGGGCTACTTAGCCGGAGTCGATATCGAACCGGATCGATTTGAACGAAAAGGTGCTGCCAGAGGTCCTCACATGCCAAGACCCTTGCCAAGAGATCCGATGTCTCGATTTTTCTAAAATCCATGCGGGGCCCCCGGACGGCCCGACGCCTTCCCCAGGGCCGGCTTGCCCTCCTGAGCTGTTCTGTGACGGTCCCTGGGCCTGGCGAGGGCCCCCAAAAGGCGGAAAACATCAACACCTTTCGCCTGGCCCTTTTCAATACGTTGGAAGTCTGTGTGTTCCTCCTCGCTCGTTTCCTCCATTTGCCCCTCGTCTTCCTCCTCGCCAGCCCCTCCGGAAAACCTCCTGGCCTCCTGAAGGGCTGCTCCCCCTGGCCTCTCATGCTCGCTGCCATCACTCGGGTCGGACGAAACGGGCGGTAATGACACCCGCGTTGCGGTCGGGAGCCTTTGCTTAGCGTGTCGCGGCGGCGTCCCCGGCAACACGCTAAGCCCTGCAAGCGGATAGCGTGTCGCTCGGGGACCGGAACGTGGATAGTGTGTCGCGCCGTAGCGTGGCGGGCCAGAACCAGCGGAACGACACGCTAACCCAAACTTCCTGACAAAAGCGCGTCAGCTCACGTGGCTGATTTTCCTGGCGTTTCCCGTCGCCAGAGGGGCCCGTGTATCGAGGAAGGCGCGCTGGGCGGCGGGGCCGAAACCAGCTGCATGCAGCAAGCTTCGTCGCCCCCTCCGTTCCTCCTCCCCCAGGACCCCCCCCGTCATGATCTTTTCATCACGTCGACCCCCGAGGTCTCGATCCAATTTCCGGGACTGGCTTTTCACCCCGCGTCGTTTTTTGACGGTCCCGAGGCCTGGAAAGGGCCCCCAGAGGCTGAACATGGAGAAACGCCCCCCGGCGTGATGTCTTCCACGCAGCGAGGGGGGGTCCCAGAGCCCCCCCCGCTCGTCCGGCCCGAGTCACTTTCGCTGCGCGTGCCGGCAGGGCGGGGCGATGGGGGAGCGCCCGGGCCGAGGGCGTGGGAGCATTGTCCACCTCGTGCGGCGGCCAGCGGGGAGGCCCCTCGTCCTCGGAAGCAGCTGGAGAGGTTCGGCGGCGCGCCCAGGGGGGGAACGCGAGAGGGGGCCAGGCCTTCTCAGACGGCCGCGGGGCTTCCGAGAAGCCCGACCGCCTTCTGAGAAGGCCTGGCCCCCTCGCACTTTCCCCTTGGGCTCGCCGCGGAGAGGTGACCAGCGAAGTCGCGGCGCCCAGAATGTCATCTGGGCGGCGACTGGAAACGGCCTCCATCCACGACCTGAACTGATCCGCAGCGTCGATGGTCATGGGGATGCAGCGCCGCGCCTATTTGTCGCCCGCAATTCGTGCGATAGAGCGCGCGGAGGGGACCGAGGGGCGAGGGTCGAGGCTGTCGGGCGTTTTGGGACTCTCCTGAGCCTCCCGAAGCCTCCAGAGAAGACGCCTTAGCGGCGCGCAGAAGAGGGCGGCGCGAGATCGGAGTCTGCCAAGACGGCTTGTTAGAAGGCTGGGTAGTGCTCCTAAGAAGCCCCACGCCTTCTCAGAAGGCCTCCGCATCGCGCCACCCCCTTCTGCGCGCCGCCGACTCGTCCTCCAGGATGGGGAGAAGACGGGACGCTGAGGTGCGCAAGAAGCACCAACACAAGCAGTGTTCTGCTCATATAATTGGCATGCTTGTAAACAATTGTCCACGCGACACGCGCGCGCGGCGAACAACTTGGCGGGCCGCTCTGCTTGCTGCTTGCAGCAGACTTCGACCCCTCTTCCTCCCTCTTTCCCTCTCTCCCTCTCCCTCTCCCTCTCCCTCCTCCTCCTCCTCCTCCTCCTCCTCCTCCTCCTCCTCTTCTGGTCTTAGCCGTTTTGGATCCATGACTCCGCCGGTGTGGCGCGGCTGATCCCGGGGCAGAAGCGATCTTGATCCCTCGCGGAGGATACTCTGGGCGGCAACGGACGGTGGCCTGCCCTCTGCCGAGGCTCCTGGCGCTGCAGCAAGAGCGGGCGCCCAAGACGCCTCTACAAGACCGCCTCCACCCCCACAGGCTTCCTAGAGGCCTCGGACCTACAGCCTGGGCGCGGTGGCGGAATGTGCTGAAGGCCACCAACTCCGCCGCCCCCTGTTGGCTTGCCACAAGGGGCGCACGGCGTGCCGAGCTACAAGCAGTTTTGGGTCCTGTTCAAAAACTCCGAATGGGCCCTCGGGTTAACCCACCAGCATGACATCAGGACCCGTACAGTGCGGGCGCGCCGCAAGAAACCCTCGCAAGAAACCCAACCCTGAAAACCCGCGCGCGAGGTGAACCCGAGGGGAAGCCCAGAACACTCTGAACGCAGCAACTTCTTCAACGGCTGCGGGAAGTCACCGCGCAGCTTGCGGAGCGAAGAAGCCCAGGATGCCCTGACGAAAAGCATCTGGTTTCTCGATGCGCGCCCCCACCGTAGCCTTTCCAGGTCGTCGGCTTTCCCGCTCCAAACGGTCTCAATGGGTGCTTCCACAAGGCAGGGATCGGCGCTGATTCGCCGCAGGCGTCTTCGATACGGTGGGCGGCAGCGGAGCCTGGCGTGCCCGCCGCCACAAGGGGCTCCCGGCGGCTGCAGCGAGCGCGGGCGCGTCGCCGCACCCCTGCGACGTTTGTGGCCGCCGTGTCCTGTAAGCTCCTGGCGCTGGGTGTTCACCCAGCACGCGGCGGGGCGGCCACAACGGCGAGGCTGGGACGCGGCTGGACCCCGCCCAGCGAATCGTCGCCGCGAAGGTGCAGCAAGCTCGGGGGCTGCACGCGCGATGCGCGGGCCGTCGCGGTCCGTGACGGCTTCGCCGGCGGCAGAGCCATCGTGCTACCGTGAGAGAGACGCAAGCTGAGGAGCGGAGGGGCTTGTCTAGCGACCGCGAGCCTCGGCCACGCACAGGCTCGCCGATCCAGATTAGGGGAGCGGACCGAACATCGGAGCCCCTCCTGAGCCCAGAACTGGTCCTCTTTGGACGCCCGCAGTGGATACGGAAGCCATGGGTACGATGCCCCACAACGAGTTTTGTCCCAGACCGACGGCACCCGCTGTTGGGCAGGCGGCCGTCTGTCTCAAGGCGCCCGCGGCGACACCGACAGCGAGTCCTGCTCAAAATTAGCAGGAGCTGCTGTTGGTCCTTGTACCCATTCTTTCCGTACCCATTTCGATCGTCCCGATCCTTACCTCGGCGCCTTGACTGTACGCCTGGGCCCAGCTGAGGCCATGGGGGTGGCAGCCAGCGGCCGTGCCCGTCGGTGGGATCAGGAGGTCGGTTGGGACGGCAGTGGCTCCAGCCCCCCCGCATGGGTGGCGCGGAGTGGGGATGGCGTTGAGCACCATCACGTGGCCCAGGCGTGGATCCCGGGCGGTCGGCAGGTCTCCGACGAGAGCGAGCAGCACACAGGCCACGAGGGTGGGGCGCTGCTGGCACAGGGGCGCGCGCAGTCGTCCAGCGAGAGCGTGCGTGTAATCCCGCACGCAGCGGGCGGTCGGACACAGTTGGCCAGAGCGCGGCGGCCGCACGGACGGCCAGCCGCTGCCGAGAGGATGGCAGCCGCAGGATGCCACAGACCAAGGCGCACACGGCCGCGGGAAGCGTTGCTGGGATCCAGGCTGATGTGTGTGCTCTGCGGCAGCGCATGGCGATGGAGGACGAGCAAAGCGACACCAGCAAGGCACAGCAGGAGATGCCCGCCGTGGTGGCCGACATCCGGTACTTGCTGCATGTCCCGAAGGCCAAGGCTGACGACAAAAATCACCACGATGGGCACGTGGTCGAACGCGCTGGTTGCCGCAACCTGCCCACGATGGAGAAGGCAGGAAAGGTCGGTGTCGACAACGCGATCGATAACGTTAACGCGCCGATCCAGCACGACCAACGGTAGTCCGACGAAAGCAAGGGAGACGCGAGCCAAGAGCGTGCAGGAGTGCAAAAGGTGGAACAGTCGGCCGAAGGGTGCGGCTCAGGCCCAAGAGGAGGTGAGGTGATGAAGGACGAGCGGGTCCAGCTCCGGGACGAAACTGGATCAGACGAGGGTGGCGGTCACGTGCCTTGGCCTCCGGCAGATGGAGAGGGTGCATGCCCTCAGATGAATCAGGCGCTCGATGAAGCGTGCGATGTCCAGCTCGAAGGCCCAAGAAATTTAAAACCCGAAATTCGCTGACCCTCGGGCAGCGCACGCGGACGTCGCCCGGGCGGGGCTGAGAGGAACGCGAAGGATCTTGAAATTAAGGTAATCGTCGGTAGGTTGGAGAAGGGTCCCGCTGCCCCGAATGAGTCAGAGCCCCTGATCGACGCGATGGGCGGCCAAAAGAGCGGCTGGACGAGCTCCCCAGACATCCGACGGTATGATTCTTCAATCCAGGCCCCCAGACCTCCAAACCCATCCCCGAGGAAAACCCGCTGGCTGAAAAAATCATGCCGCCGGAGATTGGGCGCGAGTGAATGGGGGGGCGAAAAATCGGTGGGGAAGAAAGGCGCTCTCTTCGGGTCTGAAGGCCCCATTGGGGGGCCCGAAAGGGCCCCTTCAGGGGCCCCCAAAGGCCCCTTTTCTGCAGCCCTCGCCGCCCTCCCCATTCATCGCCCCCCCCCCCCCGACTGCGCGCCCCACAAGGATACCTCGGGGCGCCGCTCCGGTGACCCTGCCAACTGCCAGGGCGTGCGGCATGCTGCCGTGGCCGAGGGGCAGCGGCCCCCACCTCGCCCTGGCGCAGGCGGCGGAGCGGGTGGAGCTGGCAGCGGCCCGCTGGGGTCTACCTCTGGGCTACGCGCAGGGGCGACCTGCGGTGAGGGCGTCGGGCGAGGAACCGTTGGATGAGGTAGCCAGGGCCTGGAAGCCAGCGGAGCTCCAATCGTGGAGTGGCCACGAACATCGCATGATGCCACCGCCATCCTCATATGCTAGCCTGCTGAGATCCCAAGAAGTGATTTCTTGCAAGCTATGCGGTGCAATCTAGGCGGTGCAATTAATTTCTGTTCGCAGTGAGTTGTCCACTCCACTGCTCGCGCAAACATCCCACCCACCCACCCGCAACTTGGTTTGCAAAATCTCTCAAGACCGTGACGGTGGGTACCACATGGCACTTGGCAACAACAGCGACGCCGACGACGACAGCGACAACGACGATGACGACGCCGCCGACAACGACTACGACGACACCGACGACGTCTCCAACGACTTCGACGACGCCGACAACGACGACGACGACACCGACGACGACGACGACAACACCGACGCCGACGACGATGACAACGACGACGACGATGACGACGCCGACGACGATAACGACGACACCGACGACGACGACGACGTCAACGACGCCGACGACGACGACGACAACGGCGGCGGCGACGACGACGACGACGTCGACGACGACGAAGACGACAACGACGCCGACGCCGACGACGAAGACGACGACGTCGCCAACGAAGACAACGAGGAAGGAGGGAGGACGACGACGGCGACCACGACGACAACGACGAGGGAGGAGGGAGGACGGCGACGACGCG